GCGGCGGCCGCGGGGAAAGGAGCGAAATAAAGCACGAAACGCGGGGAGCAGCAGCCCCGTGGGCGCGGGCAGCGCAGCTCCGTGCGCCCCGCACCGCGCCGCCGTGCCGCTTTAAAAGTCCCCAATAAAATCGRTAAAAACTGAAGTGTGCTCGTTTCTTCTCGCAAGAGCAGTGCTTGTGGCTCCCCGCTGCTCTGCGCGTCCTGCGGAGCCTCTGCGCTCCTGTACCCTSTGTCCCGAGCTTTACTGCGGTGCCGTGGGCTTCGACGTCGCCGCGTTGCTCCCTGTTCTTGTCGTGCTGCTTTTTGCTTTTTAATGTTACGTACGTGGAAGTGTTTTAATGTTTGAGTACAATAGGTAAAATACAAGCTAAGTTAAAAAAAACTGCGTCCGTGTTTCTGAGAAAAGTAGTTCTGAGTGGGCCTGTGCTTTTTGCTTGGCAGGCGGTAGAGGGGGGAATAGGGGAGACGTAAGAAAAAGTATTCTAGAGGGGTGGGATCATCACTATCTTGTTGTTGTAATTAAGGGTCATGGATGGATTACTCGGGCACTGACTATATGTACTACATCCTATAAAATGGTAGGCTGTGTGTGTTTTGGAATGAGCGTGTTCTACCTGATCTTTGCATTTCCAGTGTTCAGAAAATAGTTGACCCTCTGTCCTCGGGTGTGCATCGGGTGCCGCAGGTTGGGGACACTGACGTGTGACAGCACACCAAATTCATTAACCACATTTGAAAAACCTGGCCTAATTCCGGGACGGAACGTGCCCCTATCCCTTGCAGAACATGAAGCACTTTGCAGCTCTAGGAAGCTGCATCCCTGCGGTGCGCACGAGCCGAAAGGCCTGCGCTGAACTGCTCAGCTTCTTTGGTGCAGCCTCTTACCTCTCAGTACCAGCCCCTCGTTTTGCGGATTCTTTTGCTCGTATTAATCGTATACCACAGAGCCCTTCACACCTCTTCGTTTCCAGCCTAAATCCTGCCAAAGCAAGTAATTACTGAGCAGTATAATTGATGCCGATGTTCAGTAGCATACATGAAATTCATTTCAAAGGACACTTCACTTTCTTTCTTCCTTTTTTTTTTTCTTTTTCTTAGCAAGGTTCTGTATTGCAATTAATGCCCTTACTAGCCATTTCAGAAAAGAGGTCAAGCTAGGGGCGCCTCGCATGTAATGCAGTTGTTTGTGGCTGTACAAAATGGATATACAGTGCTACTAGTTAGAACAATCATGTTTTGTGCCCCGCTCTGTGCAGTTACAAATGACTTCATGAGCTGCAAGGCAGCCACCTAATAGGCCTGGAGAAGCAGAAGCATTTTGTCACCTTTTAAGCAGCATGAGTAAGCTGAGGTGCAGTGCTGTGGTCAGAAAATAAAAGGATTGAGCTTCCACTGCCTTTGTTTTACTCTGTTCTTAAGGAAAGAGAGGACTGTATTTATATTTTTGGGGGACCAAAGGGAGACAGGACTATTAATACAACATCTTCTATAAGCACTGAGGTCATGAGGGGAAGGATGGGAGAATATTAAATATTCATTCTTTTTCTTTCTGTCTATTTTTCTCTATATTATTTTAAGCAAATTAATCTCTTTGCATAATCATTCAGAGATATTTCTGACATTAGTCAGTCACTGTTATCAAAAGTTATAAGGTGCTAGCAGGAGTCTGCAAGGAAGGAGTTTTTCAAGGAGCAGCAAGTGCTGACATTTCTGAAATTGCAGGCTGGCTCCTCCTTGTTCCAAAGCTCCACGTAAGTTGCATTTCAAGCTGTTTCTGCAGAAACTTCAGTGTTCGGC